AACAATTTAGTTAGTAACATATTATTTTTCGATCATAAATCAAAATTTCTATATGTCAAATTATTTTACTATCAAAATTCAAAAAATTTATAGGTTACAATTTGTTCATCAATCACAATTTATTTATTGGTTTCAAATCACAATTTATTATACGGTCACAAATTATCAAATTATCGACACAAATTAACAATTTTTAGGTCATACTTTTTTCTTGGTCACAATTTATCTTTTTTATTGGTTATAAATAATGGTCACAGTCAACCAAATAATTTGTGACTACCATCAACACTTGCGAGCACCATCTCATCATTGTCTCCAGCAGCAGCACCACCGTCGTTGTTATCGTTAGAACTACCACTACCTCCTCAAACAAATCAGTCCACTATAGAACACAAGTACCATCACCACTAATGCTGACACTACTGCTGTGATGACCACCGCCACAACACTACCAATGATAAACACAACCAACAAAAATCACCCACAAAAATAGTCAACACCCTCACAACCTTACGCAAATCGCCACCACCTCAAGATGTTAACGTGCTGTTGCTGTGCACAGCACGACACAAATTCTCCCAAATCCCATCGATTGCCACTGCAGCAAATCCCGACATATCTCCGGATCTCATCATTTACCCACAAATTTTCCCAGATCTTGGCATCATCGATGCTGTGAGTCGTTACGTCGCTGGAGGTGCGGGGCGATCCTTTTCTTTATTTCCCATCTCTTTTTATTTCTCTTGATTTGTTTGGTGTGGTGTTGATAGTTGAGGTGAAAATAAAGGATTTGTGGTGATGATGCATCGACGGTCGTTGCAGCATTGGAGATTTTTTGGTGGGTGTGGTGAGGTGGTCAAGCGTGGTAATTGCGAGGTGGTGCCAGTGATGTGGTGGCGCTAGCGAGGGTGGTGGAAGCAGCGATCGGCTAGAGATATAAGAGAAGTTGGGATAAAGAGGGAAGAGAGAATGGAAAGGATGAAAATGATTAGAGTTTTGGTATGTGTAATTGGGTAGGATGAATATGTATATTTAATTTTGTAATATAATTATTAATATTTAAAATATATTAATTAATTAACAAAACATCTTATTTTTGAAATATAAATCCTAACATATGATTATGAAATGGGATCTCTCAGTGTCTTACTTCCTGTAATTTCCACTTGTAATGGAGCCTAAACATGAGCTAAGAAGAGTCCCACTTCACGCCCAAGTAGTTTGTTGAAGAAATGAGAAAAATGCATAATTACAATACATTAAGAATACAATTTTATATTTATCAAACTTGTAAAATCAATCAGGTGTTGAAGAAGAATAATAATAATTTTCATAAATCAGGTGTTGAAGAAGAATAATAATAATTTTCATAAATCAGGTGTTGAATAATAATAATAATAATATACGGGATAATTTAATCATCTCTGCCACCTTCCCCTTCCCCATCGCCACCAACAACAACCCCATCTTCGCCAACTTTGTATTCACGGCCAAACCTCCCGCGCTTCTAATCCTCTTAGCTTCTTTCAACACTTTCCTATCCTTTTTAGCCGGTCTTTTTTCACCCAAGTCCTCCAATCCTACTTTTGATTCAATTTCCATGATTGATTCCATCTAATAGACTTCACACAACTACCTCTAAACCTCCATGGAAATGCATCGTCTTGGTAGATACGAAATGAAATCCTTCGCGATGGCATACAGACCTACAAAGAAGAGAGATGAGTAAAGCCATGAGAGAGAGAGAGAGAGAGAGAGAGAGAGAGAGAATTTTGGGGAAAATTAAAATTTATAATCATTAAAAAATCTGGGGAAGAGAGAAAAAGGAAACTCTAGAGAGAGGGGAAGGGGGGAATTTGGGGGAAAATTCAAATTTATAATTTTTAAAATAAACTTGTATTTTTAATTAGTTATTTTTTCAACTTCTCTTACCTTCAACATCTTCACCTATATTCTCCCACGATTGATGAATCCAAATCTCAAAGTTTCTGTAATTGAATTAATTTAGCGACAATTTCATGAATTCACTTTATAATGACTCATAAACTATACCCACGTCTGATATGAACCTAGACCATCACCATAAAATATTATGACGATTGATTGTAACTTAAGTCTTTAATTTAGAATAGTTTCTGCCAAATAATTTTTTTTTTTTTTTATAATAATTGTGATAACAAGTCATAATCAGCCAACAGGTCACATTCAACATTATATTGGTCACAACTGGTCCAAGTTAACACAGATTTTGTCACAAAGAATTACAATTAATATATATTTTGGTCACAAACTTTAAATGTAATCAAGTTCTGTCGAAAACAATCATTGTTAATAGATGTTTAGTTACGCATCATTGTTAATACAGCTTGATCACATACCGTCACAGTAAAGATGGACCTTGTCACAATCGACCACAGTTAACAAAGATTCAGTCACAAATAATCAAATTAATTAATCATAATTTATTTATCGATCATGAAGGCACAAATTATAAGTCACAATTACAAATTTTATTACAAATCACACATTTTAGATCTCATAAATTAATACTTGTTTGGTAGGAATTTTGATAATTGATGTTTTGACCGTTAAAAATAAAGTGGATCCTACCTGTGAGAGAAGAATTCAAAAATGATGGTTGAAATAGTGAAATAACAGTCAAAAAATTGATTTTAATTGGTTTAAAATTTGTACCAATAAGTACTTAGAATTTTGAATAGAATTGGTTGCTATTAAGGTAGCTCCCTCATTTTCTTTCTTTCCTCTTTTTAGGATAAGAGAGCGATGAGATGAAAATTTTTTTATTCCATACCAAGTTTGTCTTCAGAGTAATTGTTTGTGACCAGGTTAGTCTAATTGGACTGTATGTAATCAAGCCACTGTTAATTTGGTCAATCACAATTAAGGCAGAAGTGAGCATGGATAGTCACAATGAAGACAGTTTTGGTCACAAACCGATCATAATTAACATGTACAGACTTGGTCACAACATGTTACAATTAACACAGACCTAGTTACAAAGGTTATAGTTAACATTTATAAGGTCACCACCATTTTACATTCCTTTGACAAAAGTAATCGGTAGGTAGGCATCTGTGGCCTTTTCCTCCGTGGTTCGCTCATCCACCTACAAATTTGTAATATAATTTGTTCGTGGCTTAAATTCAGAAAAATTTCATCTCTATGTCTCTATGTGACTCCATATCAGAATAAATTGAAAATTGGTCTTATTCCAATTTCCAGTAGATCTAAAAGGTAAGCTACTAATAAAACTTACTAGAAAATGCTAACTTGATTAATACAAGTTAAACTTACCATAAATTTAGAGTGGCCAGAATATACATATTTATCTCTTTTGGTCAACATGATCGAACAATGTATAACTGAGGATCTTGTTGCTGTACATTGAACGTCGACCTTAAAAGTTGTTGGTTGACCGATGAGCTTCATTAATATTTTGCTAGAATGAAATATTCTACATATTTTTCCATCGGGTAAAAACTAACTTATAAAGGAGAACCTATAGTGGTTATACCGACCCCTCACTGTAGGGGCTAGTCCCATTTGAAAAAAAAAAAAAAAAAAAAAAAATTGCTCCAGGGCCCACGCTTATTGTTGTCTGGCAGGGGTCCCTTGTACGCCCAGCACGTTTCAATTTATAAATAATCCCTATAATTATTCTTATTAACTTTGCTGTTGGTGGTGGATAGGGGCTATCGGTGGCAACTCTTCCAATTCCCTCCAAACCTTTCTCATGATCTTCCATTGCCTCCAAACACTTATGTCAGACACCACCACCACCATCACTACAACCGACATCATCATTGGTATCACCACTGCACCACCATCAACAAAAATGCATCAAAATCCACCACCCCAAAATATATCACCAAAGCAGATCGATTGTTGGAGTACATTTTTTTTCCTTCGAAAGGCCCATAACAACCGCGGCAGCCGTAGTAAATTTTCTTCTTGCTTTTGTCGTTGACTAAGGGTTTTGAAGTGAGTGGGCATGCTAATTCCTCATTTGCAAATCAGTCCTTACTTTTGTCACCGGAGCCACTGGCGGATCCAGCACCCGGCGAGCCACCGCGGCCGTGTGTGCTGATCGCTAGGAGCCTTTTTTTTCTGAGAACGGACAAATATATAGTATATATTACTGGTGAATTATTTTTCTTCCAAATATTCCTTCTAGCCAAGTTGGTTGTTGCTTTCTTTTGCTTCTTTGATGTCCCAGGCTCGAATCTTTGGTTGGCGCTTCCTTTTGCTTTTTTTAGTTATACAATTTTAACCAAAAACCATTGAAATAAGGAAGTCAGTGGAGAATCGAACCTGTGAGCTATTTTAGGATATAGTGAAAGCTTGACGACTATGACACTTAATGAGTTGTGATACAAAGTTTATCAAAATAATATATGTAAGATTTTATTAGTTTTTATGCAATTGTAAAAATTCAAACACCATGCTCTTCCTTTGAATTATACAAAGCAATAATGTTATTTGGTGAGTACGATTTATTCTATATATGTTCAATTTCAACAAAATAATTATTTTATTTAAATTTTAAGTTTTGTTTGATTCCCATTTAGTTCAGAATACATTTTTCTTTCTTTTATTTTCGATCAAATATTTTTTAATAAAATAATATTACACGTAAAATCAAAAAAGTTTATTATTTTTAACTACACATTCTCCATCAAATTACTATTTCAAAATACATTTTTTTTTTGCAAAAAATGACATCAAACGAGCTCTTAATATTTTATTACAGCTGTCCATGCTGGCTTAACATCCCGGATTCGCTCCTGACCGAAGCCAGCTATTTAGATTGTTTATGTGATAGAGAGAGAAATGGTGCGATGTGGGTTTAACGTGAAAAGAAAATTTTAAGATTTGACAAGTGAAATATATAATTAAAATGTAGGTTTTTGGGTAATTTTCCCATTTTTTCTTTATAAGGAGTTAGTTATGACGAGCCAGCATTGGCTGAGAGTTCAACTAAAGACGTGTTAAAAAAGGCAAGCACGTCTCTTTTTTTAACCAATCACCATTATTCTTTATCTAAGCATAGAAATTTAAACTCTCTGTACACAACCCTACTTTAAATTCTTGGTATGCAATAATGGAGTTCAATTATCGAACAATTGGTGAACAAGCTTCTCCTTACAGTTTCCTCACAGAACAAGCCTCCCGAGGTTTTATTCAATTTCAGAATATTTTTTCATTCTCTGAAAATTCGACAGCTTAGTTCCCGAAATTGAAATATGTATTTTGATTTTGATTTTTTGTATTTTATACTGTTTTCTACTGGTTGTTCCAGCAGGATATTTGAGACCGCCTGGTAACGATTTTCTGGAGCAAAGAAAATTGCGTGAAGCGATTCTTATAGAGCTAGAGAAAGAAAGGATCAGACAAGAGGTAATCGCGACAGAGATAGCTAGAAAACGCGCGGTGGTAGACGAATTGAGAAGAGGGAAGAATGGCCGTATAGAGAGATCAATTGGCTTTGCAAATCATTCGCACGAATCACTTGTGGAAGAGAGAATCGGAATGTCACTGGAGAAGTGGTTGGGGATTAGGGCAGCGACCAGGCAAGAAACGGCACCGTTTCATTACAGGTACCATTGAAAATTATGAAGATATTCATCGCATGTTTGGTTGCATGGATTTCAACAGTCTCTCCTTGGTGCCTCTGATTGGCTGATTCTGTAATGGGTTCTAAAACAATAATGGCGTTACTAATAAGTACTCTTTTCCATATGCATATTAAACCTACAATTTCAGAATCCTTATCAATATGTTATCAAAAATTGTCGGTTATTATAATTTCATTTGCAAGATTTTATGTAGAAACACTTGGGGTTCATTTGGGTTGTACTTCACTTTTGAGTTTTGAATTCATTTTTTAGTTTTTCGTTTTCATATTCAATTCTAAAATTGTAGGAAACGTAGGTTTGTTACTCCGAAAAATTGTTTCTCAAAACAGTTTACTAGAATAGCACGTTTGTTTTTATTAAACTTTATTATATGATTTTTTATTCAATAATGGATACATTTCATCATACAATGCTAGTACACATTTTGATTGTGAATTATAAGATTGGAGCAAACATTTCAATAGCAAGTGGACTAAGCTTACATGCTTAAATACTGATAGCACAAAAAAAAAAAAAAAAGAAGGAATTGGGAGATTAGAACAATAAAATAAATCTATAGAATCAAGTATGAGTCATCGAATAGTCATTTTACATTTGTGTAGCAATTTGATTCCTGACTTGTCCCTTTTGAGCTTTTTTACTAGCATTAAATTGATTGAATTGTATAACTTCTTGACTTTGACACATTTTGAAATACTATATTCTCTAATAGGTTTATTAACACTTGAACTATGTAAAATTATGAATTTTATATTCACAACAATAATTTTATAATTTGCATAATAACATCAAATATGTTATTGACATTGTGAGGGAACTCAATCATTTTAAAAGCAATTATTCTTTTATGCATTATCCAAAGTGAGTATATATAGAGCCGTTGTAGTTATATACCCTTTTTTATTAATGCCTTCCCGTATATTTGATGTAAACAATATAACATTCTCATATTTTTGTAAATCATGTACTATTTGTTTTTTGTGCCTAATGAATATTCAATGCCATCGAAATGAAGAGTGTTTCTACCTATCTTCACATATCTTGGTTGAAGATATTCTTGTACAAACTTTGTGAAATGTTGGTTGTCCACTATGTTTACTGGTAATTGAGCATGGACAACAAACTTCACCATTCCTTCATGGCAATTTTCTTCGAATTAATTCACGTTCATAGAAGAATTGGTACCGAGAGAAGGAATACTGAATTGACGTTTTGTTTGTGTTTGACCAGCAAGTCCATGTTTAGGCGAACATTTCAAGTAGTTACTGTTAAGGTGAATAGTTTCGATTCCCTTTTGTCATGCCAACTTGTTTGCTAATATGTACAAACTGCTTTACATTCTTGGGCTCCATCAACTGTCCGATTTGTATAAACTAATTTGAAGTGTTACCAACACTTCGCAATTTCTTTAGATTTTCTCTTCACTCTCGTATCTGGCATTTTGAGTTTTGGTTCCATAGCTTTCCCTTCATCAATATCATCCAAGTTAATTGGATAACTACTCCTATGCATATCGTCGACGCCTAAATCGTCAAGAAAGGGAATATCGTTGAGATCGAAAAACTCATTGTGAAATTGAGATTGTGACGTCAATGGTGAGTTGCCACAAATAGTCCCTCAGCATAAGAATTGATATCCACTTGTAGGAAATGAAATGGAATGAATAAATATGATATAGAAGTGTGAATGTGATTGATGAATTATAAAATTGAGATAAAGTGAGAAAAATATAAGGAATGAAAATGTCATAGATGGATCAAATGGATTTGTTATTGAATAATAATGGAATAGCTAATGAAGAATTGAATTAAGAGCAAGTAATTTAGATTGTAAAATGTAGAAGATATATTGTAGAGAATTGGTGTGAAAATGTATTGAAATGAGGAGTATTTATAGAGTTTGAAAAATAAAATAAATAAACAGATTCTGTGACCATTGGGACATTGGAAAGTTTTGTGACCATTGGCAACGGTCATTTAATTTAGACTCATGGGCTCCTCGAGCTCGAGGGAACTATCCATGAGCCGATCATTTGGGTGGCTCGTTGTTCCAAACCCATGCTCCCCTTTGGTCTAGCCTGGGAGTTTCTAAAAAATTAAACCCTGGTAATTTTCCTTTGAAGTGGCCCCATTTCTCTCTCACATAGGTAATCTCTTAATTAAAAGTAATCCGCATTACTATTTTATCCTTTATTCCTTATGGGTATTATTGTTTTCATCATAGGAATGGACTGGGATAAGTTCCCATAGTGATCCAACATGATCTTTGCAATTATGCTGTCCATTTGAATTTAGATCTTGGGATCTCCAGTCAATTAGGTTTGGTTTTTATTGTATTGGTTTATTCTTTCATGAGCTTTAGTCCCATTCCACTCAATGATTTTTCAACTAATTTTCTATTTAACCCTTTGGCTAGCGGATTCGCAATAATGTCATTTGATCTTACTCAATCAATGGAGATAGTTCTTGTAGAGATTGCTATATAATGCTATTTTGTCTTCCACTTATCTAGACTACTTTGATACATATTGTTATGTGACGAGAATAAATTTCGCAAGAATGGTACTAGCAATTACTGCCATGCACAATCTTAAAGTACATCAAATAGATCTGAAAACAACCTTTCTGAATGGAGGTTTAGATGAAGAAATCTACATGGCATAACCTGAGGGTTTTATTACACATGGTTAAGAAATGAAAGTCTATAAACTTATGAAATCCTTGTATGATTTACATCAAAGATCAAAACAATGGCATGTAAAATTTGAATGTGCTGTGATGGGAAGTATATTTAAAATCAACAAATGTAATAAATGTTATTATATCAAAGACACTGAGAATGGATATTTTATTTTGTGTCTATATATTGATGACATGCTCATTGTTGGTAGTAATGATAGGACGATATGTTGAATTCAAAATTTGATATAAAAGATATGAGACTGGTTGATGTTATCTCATGAATAAAGATCTCTAGAGTATCAGATGGGATTGTCTTTAATCGGTCACGTTATGTTGAAAATATTCTTGAAAAATTAGTAAAGATGACACTGGTGGAGGAACAATGAACATAGAAAGAAGTTATTCCTGAGTCGCTAAGGAACCTGCGTTTGAGACATTCGGGATTTGAGGTAAACCAAAAATTGTATCCATTCCAATCACATTTAATGATGATGAGTAAGGATTTATATCCTTATTGCAACGGATTAGTATTATGGGCAGTCATAGCTCTCAATGGCCTCAATTGTATGCTGTTAAACAATGGTAATTCTGTGATTATTCTGTTTGGAAGTGCATTTGACCAAATGTAGGTTGATCACCCTTGGATGCCTATGGCTGAGCAATTGTATATGTTTATCGATGATAGTTTAGTCCCATGGGGACAAATCATTTTAGCGATTGAATTGGGCGAGAAGTAGTGACATCCATGTAGCATCTTAGTATGAAATTTCATACCCCAAAAGGATTAGTTAGCATCAAGGAAAACTAGGCGGTTGCGCATGAGTGTTACCTTAGGACATTGAGACAAAATGGCCCCAATACCACGGTGTAAAAAATGGCAAGAACAAAATTAAAATCCTCATTTAAGAAAGCGTATATCCGAAGCTGTGACAGTTGAAGAGTTGAAAAACTTTCCTACCAGTAAGGATGATACTACCAATAATAGGGAAAGCTTGAATATCAAAACGGTGAAAATGAGCCAAGGTCAGAAAAATTGTTGCAATGATAAAATCTATGATAAAGATATGAAAGGAAAGGAAAGTATCTTTCTGCTTATGATGATTACAAAATATCCACCAAAAAGTTCTATTACAAAAGAAAGGAAAAAATCAGGAGAAAAAAGTGAGATAAACGAAAACTATTTTTCCAAGTTAATTACAAGTTAGAGATTTTTGAAATTCTAACATTTCTCCTTCGGAAGGTCTGATCACTTCGGAAGGAAGAGGAGTGAGATTAGAAATCATAGCTTATTCAACAAAACCAGCAGTCCACTTGATGGAATGATAGCCGGAGGGTCCATTGGCTGAAGTGTTTTGACAGGAAGAGACGAAGAGTTTCGAGGGATAAGTTGTCTGTGAGTTATCTCACTTGCCACCCAAGCCTAGGAAATAAAATATTATACCATGAATCAGAACACCACCAAGAGGTGACAATGTTTAATGTGGCACGGCCCAACCCAAAATATGCTTGGAGTAAATGTTTTTCAAGCAAGAAAATGTTTGGTTGTGGTTCTCTTCATCAGTTGCATCATCTGCTCACTGTCTCCTTTATCCCATCCTTAATTAAAAAAAGCTTTATTTAGGACGTGGTTGGGGTGAGCGAGCTGTAGCCAGTCCCTAACTTTCCTGAAGGTTAAGTCTATTCCCTTCATCCTAGCAGGGCCGCCACTCTTCTTGTAGTCCTTAAATTTCTTGTACTTCTCGATGAACTTCTTTCCTCATGTTAACAATGACCCCTTGATCTCCTCTTGATTGGTCTTTAAATTTTCGATCTCGATGTCCAGCCTCACAACATGGTCCCCCTTATCTCTAGCCATGGCTTCTTTCTAAGCAGTCAACTTCTTGCTCTCATGAAGGGATAGACTTTTGAAATGTGAAAAGGCAATCATTGTGGTAGCTGCATCGATTCCTACGTAAATAATAAGGTAACCTCAGGCCGGACGCTTAGATTGTGTAGAAAGTACGATAATTTCCAATAAGGGAGACCGTGTTGATGGGCTTGTATGAGACTTGGTGCATTGTTGCTCATAGTTGAGGAAAATTAGTACTTGATGTGACAATTAGGTAAAGTACGTGCTATAGAAGTTAATTGCGATTTGTCGTATACTTACGTGCAATAGTCCAATTGGCTCTCTAATAAGGGCTCTAATGATGTTGGTTAGCTAATAACCCATGTTTAATGGTCAAGCAAAAAGTGAGCTCATGTCAAGGTTGATCGAGGTATGTTGATATACTACTTCATCGACTCTCATCTCATGACTCGATAAGTTGGTGCTTACTCTCGCATCCCTCCACATCACCATGCATGCCACTTAAAGTCTATACAGCCAAAATTCTCCCCAAATTATTTGTTGAAGATACAATTAAGCTCCACCACACTAAAAACACTCTCACCATCCTAGAATAGTGAAGCACCATACCACCAGTAGGAAAACATCATTCAAGAGTGCACCACCACCAAAAATAATTCAACAAACGACCTTTATATCACTAGGGCGGGCATATTGTTGTTGATTTTTTATATCTTGCAAGTATAGATATCAAAT